GCGTCGTCTGGCGTCGGCTGGGCACCGGCGCAGATTTCGTGGCAGGCACAGCACTTTGTGAACCTCCATGTGCAGATTTCGTGCCAGGCACGCAGCATCTGTGGAGCTGGAAGCTAAGAACTGGCGACTTTGTAGTACAACTTTAGTACGCGGAGAATCTGCGGAGCTGGAAGATGAGAACTGGCGACTTTGTAGTACAACTTTAGTACGCGGAGTATCTGGGGAGCTGGAAGATGAGAACTGGCGACTTTCTAGTACAACTTTAGCCTGGCATCGCTACTAGGAGCATTCTTACTACTCGTTTGAACCAAGATCCTCCCACCTGCAAGAGCCGCCACTGGGATGAAGTTCAGTAACTTGTAGGCGCCCATGACAGAGGCCATGACAACAATGGCTGTGCAGGTCCTTGGAAAGATAGTCCTCTCTGAGAAAGTCTTGTGGTGAAGCTTGACCCAGCGAGTTCTTCCACAAAAGCTTGGGACCGTGATTCTCTTTCCTTTCTTCCGTGTTTTTTAAAGCCGTTCTTCTTCCTTCATATCCGTTCTTCTTCCTTTTCGTCAAATCAATCCTTTTCCACCCTGCATTGACCCTCCGTTAAAAAAGCTTCAGCCCAGCAGAACTCGACCGAGGGGCGGGGCCATCCGCCCTCGGCCACCATTTAGCACATTGATGGTTGAGAGGCCAATCATCGCATTGCCACCCATGCCACCCAGGAAGCCTCCCATGTGTCAAAGGGGTTTATTGCTTGCTTGTTTCACTGTTCTGGCTGGGACATCAAAAGACCTCTGAACCAGTAACTGGTTATATACTTTATATATATATATATATATACATCTTCCTACTTGTTGTTTTGACAAGGACGGTCGGATGGTTCCAATTCTCCGACGCCTGAGACGATGTTACCCAGACCCATGGCAAATAACGAGCGGTCACCCTCGCTGGGTGTCTTGGTGAAGGACTCCACCACCTGCCGAGTTCAATCGCTCAGGCTTGGAAGCCCAAAACTCACCCAAGTTCACTAGCTTTCGTCCTTGTTACTAGTAGCATCCTTGCTACTGGTAGTAAGGCACCTTGCTACTAGTAGCGTCCTTGCTACTAGTGTTTCTACTCAAGTGTTTATAACATGTTTTGTCTGTCGTTCAAGAATGAGCGTTCTCAAAAAGGGATTTTACATCCTGGCCTCGGAGGTCATCAATGACTCGATGGAGCCCACTACACAGAGCAGAATACCTAAGCTTGGTCTGATTGCACGGAACATCTTAACTTGTTGACTGGAAAAAAA